CCAGCAGGGTGATGGCCACACCGCAATCCCTTCTCCTCTCAGGATTTTAGGGCATGCACACTTGCCTGGTCACCAGGTCAGGGACTTGAACCACGGTCCTCCATGTGGGACTCCAACACCTTACCCACCACGCCACCTGCTGACCCCACCACCTCTCACTGGTGGGATTTTCAAGCTCTGGATCTGGGACTTGAACCATGGTGTTCCGTGTGGGAGTTCAGTGCCTTAACCACTATGCCATCAGCTGGCCCCAACATTTTTTTGGAGGGGGTCTGTTTGTTTTTTAGGTGTTGCTGTAGGGCGCATATGCTCACCAGAAAGAGGCAGAGGGAGGGAAACTGAGAAATCACCCCTTGGGAGGAGCCATGACACAGTTCCAAGGCTCAAACAGCAGTCAGCTATGTGAGAATCCAGTATTGTAACTGTTATGTCACCTGCTGGCCACCCCCATAGTACTTTATATTTTTTATTTTCTTTAAAGAATTATCTATTTAATTTTATTTAGTATTATTATTTTAAAAAATTTGCTATAGAGCCTGCACACTCACTAGAGAGAGACAGAGATAGCGAGAGAGAGAGAAAGCGAGAAAGCAAGCTGCCCGGTCCAGATTTTGAACCGCAGTCGGCCATGTGGGAGGCCATTGCCTTAACCACATTACCACCTGCTAGCCCCCACGTTGCTTTCCAAATTTAATGAATAAATTCAAGATTTTTAGAGCAGTTTTAGACTTACCACAAAATGGATAGGATTTCTTGAAAATCGGTAAGAATTCCCATCTGCATCCTTACCGTGGAGTTCCCCCCCTTGCCTATATTTCGTCAGTGTGGTCTTCCTTGTTACAACCAACAAACCAATAATGATACGTTATTATTAAGTGAAGTCCACAGATTTCAATAGGGTTTATTCTTTCCGTAGTATGTTCTATGAGTTTTGACAAATACGTATTGACAAATGTCAAAACATAGAAGAGTTTCTCTGTCCTAAAAATCTCCTTTTTTAAAAAAAAATAGTTCCCCATTTGTTTTCCCCCTTTGGAGAGGTTTTTCCCATAAGGTGCATGTGCTCGCCAGAAAGAGAGAGAGACAGAGAGATAGAAAGCGAGAAATCACCCCCCAGGGGCGATGGCCACGCCGCAATCCCTTCTCCTCCATTCTCCTCTCGGGATTTCGGGGATTCCGGGCACGCCCGCACAGGCGTCCGGTGTGAGTTTAAGCCACCGGGTCTGAGACTCGAAGTGCGGTCGACGACATGGGAGTCCAACAACGTAGCCATTACACCATCTGCTGGTCCCAGTTCCCCATTTTTTCAAGTTTTTTTTTTTTTTTTTCATTTATTTCTTACATAAACAAATGAGACAGAGAAATAGCGCCCCCAACTGAGTGTGACCCTGCAATCCATCCCCAGGTTCAGCCAGCCCAGATGATGGGCGTAAGTGTACCTGGCGTATTTAGAAGGGGTCTCTGGACATGAATCTGGAATCTTCCCATGGGGTCAGCTGTGTACCGCGTAATGTTTCATTTGTTTGTTTGTTTGTTTGTTTGTTTTTAGATTTTTGCTAGAGGGTATGTACTTATCAGAGAGAGAGTGCAAAATCACTCCACAGGGGGAATGGCCATGCCACAATCCCTTCTTCTCCATTCTCATTTCAGGATTTGGGGCACACACTCACCCATGCCCAGTGTGGTGTTTTTTTGTTTTGTTTTGTTTTGTTTGTTTTTGGGGGGTTTTTTCTGCTATAGGGCGCGTGCGCTCGCCAGACAGACAGACAGAGACACAGAGACAGAAAGCGAGAAATCACCCCCCAGGGGGGATGGTCACACCGCAATCCTTCTCCTCCATTCTCCTCTCGGGATCTTGGGCACTCCGCACACGCGCCCGGCGTGAGTTTAAACCACCGGGTCCGGGACGCGAACTGCAGTCGACTATGTGGGAGTCCAGCGACATAGCCATTACGCTAACTGCTGGTTCCTGCCCAGTGTGCTTTTAAGCTACTGAGTCTGGGACTTGAACTGCACAGCTGGCCATGTAGGATCCAGCTACCTTATCCTCACACCACCTGCTGGCCCTTATTTGCTGTTCAAAACTCTGAATCATTCATCTGGTTAACAATAAAGAGAGAAGAAGATAGAACCAGCGGTTAGCGTAATGGTTACGTGCCTGGACTCCTACATGGCCAACCGCGGTTTGAGTCCTGGACCCAGAGGCTTCAAACTCATGCCAGGTGCGTGTGCATGCGTGCTCAAAATCCCGAGAGGAGAATGGAGGAGAAGGGACTGCAGCGTGGCCATCCCCCCGGAGGGTGATTTCTTGCTTTCTGTCTTTGTCTCTCTCTGTCTCTCCAATGAACGCATGTACCCTACACCAAAAAATAATCTATTTTTAACAAAAGAGAGAGAGAAGGACGTTTACCTAGCATGCCTTTAGCTCAGGCACTGTTCCCTGGTGTCTTATTTGGTGAATTTTAATCCTTGCCGTCCTGAACTCTATTTCCTCATCGTACGTTATTCTGTCATGGAGAGGAGTCGCTCTCTCCAAGCTTGGGAGTCCTTTAGTCCCTAAGGACTTTCCACCCCTGGAAATGAGACAATATCATGATGCAGATGGCAAGTGTCAATGCAAAAGATGAGGTCATTTTTCCATGGCAACTGGATCCAAGAGACACTGCACTATTTTGAACTCGAAGATATCGGAACACTTCCACCCACGCCATCCCTGTTCATTCGATGTGCTAAGTGTTATTTCATCCCGGAATTAAGTAGGCGGTTCTTTCCGGGAGTAAGTCTTAAAGTTTTGTTTGTTTTGTTTGTTTTTAAGAGAGATTTTTGCTATAGCGCATGCGTGCTTGCTTGAGAGACAGGGAGACAGAAAGCAGGAAATCCCCGCCCCCCCCCCCGGGGGCAATGGCCACGCTGCAATCTCTTCTCCTCCATTCTCCTCTCGGGATTTTGGACATGTACGCACATGCGCCTAGTGGGAGTTTTAATCCGCCAGGTCTGGGACTTGAATTGCGGTTGACTACATGGGAGTCCAGCCATGTAACTGTTACGCCATCTGCAGGTCCCAAGTCTTAAAGTTTTTAGGATAGTTAGATCTATTTCTTTCTTCAAAGTTTTTCATATTATTATTACTTTTTAAAATCGTCATTTTTGCAGCATCACCTTTTAAAAAAGTATTTATTCAATTTTACTTATGATTATTATTATTTTTTTTTTACCATGCCATAGGATACGTGTGCTTACTAGAGAGAGGCAGAGAGAGAGGGAAAGTGAAAAAGCAAGCCACCAGGTCCTGGACTCAAACCACATTTGACCATGTGGGAGTCCGGGCTTCTTAACCACCATGCCATCTTGTTGCAGAAAAATAGACACCAAGGTGCTCAGGAGAGAAAGGAGAACTGTTTATTACGTCGGCGGGCATGGAGGTGTTAACACTCTGAATCTCCAGCCCCTGGAGAGTTGGGCACAGTCTTTTACGGGGAAGTTGGGAGAGGGGGAGTCTCAGCATGCTAGGAGTATCCTATCAGGAAAAGAGGCTCAGGATTTGCCCTAAAAAGGAAAGTGGCAGAGAAGCAGGGAGTCTAACTTCTCAAGGTCTCACGTTACTTTTATCGCTCAAGGGAGGGACAGTAAGTTTGCAGAGGAATGGGAAGTTTCTGCAATACCGGCCTTGGGTTATTCCCGACTTCCGGGCCTCTCCGTATCAACCCGTTAGCCTTGCCATTCATAATATTACTTATGAAAGTAATAGATGTATATTGCAGTTCATTTAGAAACGCCAAAAAAGTGTTCGTACTCTAATTACCTAATGACATGACACAATGAGTTAGGATTTTAGATCCACTCAACATACATTGTGTAATCCTCATATTAAATTTGGGGAAATGAATATTATTCTCATTTTACCAACTGGTCCCCTGGGGTAGAGAGTGGTTAAGAAATTTGTCCAAGGCCAGCAGGTGGCATCGAGGATAAGGTGGCTTAATTCCACAAGGCTGTGTGTTCGAGTCCCGGACCCAGCAGCTTGAAAATCACAGCAGGTGTGTCACATGTATGCATAAAAACTCGAGGAGAATGAAGGAGAAGGGATTGCAGGTGTCCATCCTCCCTGGGGGATAATTTCTCAGTTTCTCTCTCTGTCTCTCTCTGTCGTGTGCATGCTCCCTATAGCAAAAACTAAAAACAAAAAAGAAAGAAATAAGTGTGTCCAAAATTAAACAGCCAGAATATTTTAACCCTGAACTGCCTATATCTAAAGCCTCCTTCTTTTTTTTTTTTTTTTTTTTTGGGAGGGGGGGTTGCCATAGGGCTCGTCCACTTGCCAAAGGGTGAGACAGAGACAGTGAGAGGAAGACTGAAAAATCACCCCCCCCCAGGAGGCATGGCCATGCTGCAGTCCTTTCTCCTTCATGCTTTTCCTGGGATCTTGTGCACACACATGCGCACACCCAGCGTGATTTTCAAGCCACCGGGTCCGGGACTCCAACCGCAGTTGACCATGTGGGAGTCGAAAGCCCTAACCGCTGTGCCACCTGCTGGGCCTTGGATGCCTTCCTCTTGGGTGTAATACTTCCTGGGAGTAGGGTCAGAGCAGGGAATGGGGTTTAGAACCCCACTACCCACAGAGGATACTGCAACACTGGCTTCATTCTTTCTCGTCTTATTTTCATGTACACTTTACTTTTATTTATTTATTTATTTATTTGAGAGAGGTTTTTGCTACAGGGCACGTGCACTCGCCAGAAAGACAGAGAGAGACAGAGAGCGAGAAATCACCCCCCAGGGGGGATGGCCATGCCGCAATCCCTTCTCCTCCATTCTCCTTCCGAGATCTTGGGCACGCACGCACACGCACCTGGCGTGAGCTCTAAGCCACCAGGTCCGGGACGCGAACCGTGGTCGACTACATGGGAATCCAGCGACATAGCCAGTACGCTAACTGCTGGTGCCATCATTTATTTTAATTTGACCAGAGAGAAAAAGAGAGAAAGTGAGAAAGCAAGCCACCAGGTCCAGGACTCGAACCATGGTCAGCCATGTGGGAGTGTCCAGCACCTTAACCACCACGCCACCTGCTGGTCCCCTAGCATAAGTGATTCTCCACTGGAAAGGGACTCCTCAGCGTATTGACGCCCAAAGGGAAGACTAGAATGGGAGCCGCTCTTTCCCATCAGCGACACTCGCCCTTCGTCCTGTGGTCCCCCTCCAGGTCCCAGCCCCCAGCGGCTTCTGAACTGGATGCTGGCCTTGGCGTGCCAGAGGGGCCACCTGGGAGTCGTGAAGCTCCTGGTCCTGACACACGGGGCAGACCCGGAGAGCTACGCGGTCAGGAACAATGAGTTTCCGGTCATCGAGCGTTTGCCACTCTACACGGCCATGAAGTCAGGTGGGTGCCACCCTGGCGTCCCTGCCCCGCTCTCTGGAGGTGTCTCCCATGTCCCATTGCGGGGAGACTTTCGCAGCTTCTGTTTCTCTCTCTTTCTCAAAACATCTGCACCCTCCGTGGTTCCCATGTCATGCCCCTCTACGAGGGGATTTCAGGGACAGGGACCAGCTGTGGCCAACGGGACCGTTCCGTGACTCAGTCAAAAGGGCAAAGTCCTACAAAGCATCTCCTGCTCACGGGAACTTGATGGGTCGAGGGAAGTGGCCAAGCACCCTTTCGGTTTCCTTTCCACATCCTGGGCTCCACCCCTTGGATGTCTGGGGACACCTGCTACCTCCAAACGCCCTGAGCTTTCTTTCCATGGTTGTCCCCGCAGAGAATGAAGACATTGCCATATTCCTGCTCCGTCATGGCGCCTTTTTCTGCTCCTATATCTTGCTGGACAGCCCTGACCCCAGCAAGCATCTCCTCCGGAAATACTTCATCGAAGCCAGTACCTTGCCCGGCAGCTATCTGGGGAAAACGGTGGGTAGTCGCTGCTTCATGGGGTGGGCTCAGAAATCTGGGTTTCAGAGAGTTTCTCGAGGTGTCCCTGGCTTTTTTCCCAAACTGGTTAACTGTGTCATCCTTTTAACCATTTCTTTCGAACATGTCCTTTCTTGAAGTTGTAAATGATGAACGTTAGATGAGTTTACCTCGTTCTAACAAGTGATGACTCAGGCCAGCGGGTGGTACAGAGGTTAAGGCATTGGATCCCACATGGCTGACTGAGTGGTTCAAATCCCAGACCTGGTGGCTTGAAAATCACGCTGGGCACATGTGTGTGCATGCCCAAGATCCTGAAGGAAGAGTGGAGAAGAAGGGACCGTGGCATAGGTGTCCCCCTGGGAGGATGATTTCTCACTTTCCCATTCTCTCTCTCCCTCTCTCTTGTGAGTGCACACACCCTATAGCAACAAAATAAAAAAGGAAAAAAAGGGGACCAGCATTTAGCGTAATGGCTATGTCGCTGGACTCCCATGCTGAATGCGGTTCAAGTCCCGGACCCGGTGGTTTAAACTCACGCTGGGCGCGTGTGCGTGTGTGCCCAAGATCCCAAGAGGAGAATGGAGGAGAAGGGATTGTGGCATGGCCATTTCCTCTAGGGGATGATTTCTCACTTCTACCCACTCTGTCTCTGGTGAGCACACATACCCTATAGCAAATTAAAAAATAATAATGACTTGGGATCAGCAGATGATTTCATTGCTGGACCCCCACATAGCTGACTGCGGTTCGAGTCCCAGACCTGGAAGCTTAAAACTTACTCCGGGCACATGTGCGTGTGTACCCAAGATCCTGAGAGGAAAATGGAGGATAAGAGATTGTGGCGTGGCCATCCCCCCAGGGGGTGATTTCTTGCTTTCTGTCTCTCTATCTATCTCTCTCTCTCTATCTCTCTATCTCTCTAGCGAGAGATAGCAAAAATTTCTCTAAAAATAGAAATAATAATAATTAATAAATAAAAGTAAACAAATAATTCCAAGAATCCAGTGGCTTGGAGTTCTTTGGTGTAAGTCTAAAAGCAAAAATAGTTGGCACCTCTGAGTTCTTTGCTGTGCGTGGTCCTGCCACCTGTGCCGAGGGTGGCGTGGTGCTTAGCAATGATCATTGTGTTTTGCGTATGAGGGGACGAACACAAGGTACTGTTGCTTTTCCACTTCTTGGCTCTTTGGGTTAGAATCAGAAGAGAAAATGAAATTTCAGCATCGCTTGAGTCATAAAGACGACTTGGACTTCCCCAAAGCAGGTGGGGGTTTTTAATAATTCAAGTGAATTTCAAAGGCAAGTACCTTAGAGGGGGGTTACTCCTTAACCTCCAGCCTGTGAAGCCACAATCTTTCTCAACTGTACGAGAGAGGAGAGGGGACCAGAGGGGACTAGCATTCAGGAGCAATGACTCAGGAGCCAGAGGTGAGTGTCTTGTCTTGCCAGGTTTCCAGTGGACTGGAGCCGCCATTTTTGGTTCTGAATATTAGACAAGGATGGGCATTAAATAGATGCTTGGTGGGCCAGCCGGTAGCGTGGTGATAAAGGTGTGGATTCCACAAGGCCAACCGTGGTTCGAGCCCTGAATCTGGTCCCTTGAAAAAGTCTCCATGTGGGGCCAGCTGGGGTGGCATGATGGTTAGGGTACTGGACTCCTATATGGCTGACCTTGGTTTGAGTCCTGGATCTGGAGGCTTGCTTTCTCACTCTCCCTCTCTCTCTTTGTCACTCTATGGTCAACTTAAAAGAATAATAATAATAATAATAATAAATATTGGGACCAGCAGGTGGCATAGTGGCTATATCACTGGACTCCCACGTAGTCAACCGCGGTTTGAGTCCCGGACCTGGTGGCTTAAACTCACACCGGGTGCGTGTGCGTGCGTGCCCAAGATCCCGAGAGGAGAATAGAGGAGAAGGGATTGCGGTGTGGCCATCCCCTCTGGGGGGTGATTTCTCGCTTTCTGTCTCTCTTTCTCTCTCTGTCTTTCTGGCAAACGCACGCACCCTGTAGCAAAAACCTCTCCCCACCAGAAAAGAAAATAATATTAAACAATTTAAAAATCAAAGCAATTCCCGGAGCATGTGGGCATGTGTGCAAAATTCCAAGAGGAGAATGGAGGTCTAAGGGATGACTGTGTGGCCATCCTCCCTGGGGGTTGCCTTTCCACTTTCCTTATCTCTCTGTCTCTCTCTCTCCAGAGAGCACATGTGCCCAATAGTACATTTCAAAACAAAAATTGGCCCAGCCAAGTGGTGTGAAGGTTAAGGCAGTTGGGTCCCCCTAGTCGGACTGCACGGTTCAAATCTCGACCCGGTGGCGTGAAGGGCCCATGTGCGTGCGTGCCCAAAATCCCTACAGGAGAATGGAGGAGAAGGGATTGCAGCGTGGCTATCTCCCCTAGGGGGTGATTTCTTTTTTGTTTGTTTGTTTAAGGTTTTTGCCATAAGGTGCTTGTGCGTGTCCAAGAGAGACACAGAGACAGTGAGAGAGAAAGTAAGAAATCATGGGAACCAGCAGTTCGCGTAATGGCTATGTCGCTGGACTCCCACGTAGGCGACCGCGGTTCGCGTCCCGGACCCGGTGACTTAAACTCACGCCGGGCGCGTGTGCTTGCGTGCCCAAGATCCCGAGAGGAGAATGGAGGAGAAGGGATTGCAGCGTGGCCATCCCCCCAGGGGGTGATTTCTCACTTTCTGTCTCTCTGTCTCTCTCTGTCTGTCTGGTGAGCGCACGCGCCCTATAGCGAAAAAAACCTCTCCAAAAAAAAAAAAAAGCAAAGAAAGAAATCACTCCCGGGGGGATGGCCATGCCACAATCCCTTCTCCTCCCTTCTCCACTTGGGATTTGGAGCAGGCGTACATGTAAGCAGCTGACGAACTTTTCAAGCCACCAGGTCCAGGACTCCAACCACGGTCGGCCATGTAGGAATCCAGCACCTTCCCCACCACACTGACCTGCTGGCCCTGGCAGGGTGGGGTGGGAGAATTTCTTACCTTCTCTTTCTGTCTCTCTGTCTCTCTCCAGCCAGCGTATGCACCCTATTAGGGAGGGGGGGGAGTGCTTTGCTGGTATGACACATGGCCAGAAAGGTTCCTGGACTTAGCCGGCATTGTGGCTGCAGCAACCGAGTAACCATCCCACCAGGGCACAGGTGACAGTGGTAGCCTCTCGTGGTAACACAGCAGGGCGTCGGGCCAGCAGGGGACACGTTCGGTGTTCATCCCAGTGCCACCCTGTCCTTCGTGTGTTTGTACTTCGCTTCTTCCATCAGCCAGCTCATCAATATTATTATTATTATTATTATTATTAGTTTAGTCTTTGTCATAGGGTACATGCGCTCACTGGAGAGAAGCAGAGAGGGAAGTGAGAAATCACCCACCAGGTGGGACAGCCATGCCGCACTCCCTTCTCCATTTTTCTCCTAGGATTTCGGCACGCACGCACATGTGCTCACCGTAATTTTCAAGCTGCTGGGTCTAGCTGCTGGGTCTAGGACTCGAACTGTGGTCAGCCATGTGAGAGTCCAGTGCTGTAACCACTATGTGACCTACTGGCCTCCTGTGCTATTTTTATTATTTTTACTTTTGGAGAAGATGTTGCTGTAGGGCGTGTGCGCTCACCAGAAAGACACAGAGACAGAGAGATAGAAAGTGAGAAATCCCCCCGGGGGGATGGCCACACCGCAATCCCTTCTCCTCCGTTCTCCTCTCAGGATCTTGGCACACATGCACACGCGCCCGGCGTGAGTTTAAGCCACCGGGTCCGGGACTCGAACCGCGGTCGACTACATGGGAGTCCAGCGATGTAGCCATTACGCCATCTGCTGGCCTCTGTATTATTATTTTTTTAAGGTTTTTGCTATAGGGTGCATGCACTTGCCAGAGAGAGACCAAGAGAGGGAAAGTGAGAAGTCCACCCACTGAGGGCATGGCCACACCACAATCCCGTCTCCTCTATTCTCCTCCTGGGACTTTGGGCACGCCCACGCATGAGCCCAGCATGATTTTCAAGCTGCCATGCCCAAGACTCAAACCATGGTCAGTCATACGGGAATCCAGTGCCACCTGCTGGTTCCAGCTCATCGGTATTTTAAGTGGGGACCAGTCCTGCCTGTTCCTGGCCCACCAGCCATGGCTCCCAGGCTGCCGGAACCCACTGCAGGAATCAGGGAACTGCAGAGAAGCCCGTGTTTATTTCCCGCTGGCAGTGACTGGCTCCCTGGGCTTTTGTCGGTGTTTGGATAAGGAAGGTTCCAGAGGCCACAGCGCATGGTCTGGGCTGCTTGGATGCTCTTTAAAGAACAAAAGGGAAGCCAAGTCTGGCCTGGCCAAAGCCACTGCCCTGGCTCGTCAGTGCTCTTCCAAAGCCGCCAGATGGTTGCCCGATGGGGCAGCTGGTGAATGAACATCCTGTCTTTGTCGAGCTGTGTGGCTTTGATGGTGTCACACCAGAAAGGAACAGGGAAACCCAGAAATGCCAGGAAGGGGCTGACAGAGTTCTGGAATAACCGCGACGTTCACACCTGGTCAGGAGCTAAGGCCAGGCCAGAGGATGGGCTGGGCTGTTTGCATGTTGGAAGCCGATGAGAGCCGAAACAAACTTTGAAACGCCCAATGTGGAAATGATTAATTTCCTTTTAAAAGTCTCTAATGGAGGGCCAACAAATGGTGTAGTGGTTAAGACGCTGGACTCCAACTTAGTCTGCCATGGTTCGGGTCCCGGACACAGCGACTTAAAACTCACATTTGGGCACATGTGCGTGCATGCCCAAAATTCCAAGAGGAGAATGGTGGAGAAGGGACTGTGGCATGGCCATCCCCCCTGAGGGGTGATTTCTCGCTTTCTGTCTCTTTGTCTCTCTCTGTCTGTCTGGCGAGCGCACGCGCTCTATAGCAAAAACCTCTCCAAAAAAAAAAAAGTTTGAAAAAAAGGAATAGCTCATTTACATATAAGGAAACCTACAGTAAACCACAGCATGGAAACACACGCAATC